AGGAGAGGAGGAGGAGGAGGAGGAGGAGGAGGAGGAGGAGGAGGGGAGGGGAGGAGGAGGAGGAGGAAGAAGATTACCACCACCTGACCTCACCACCACCACCTCCCTCACCTCACCACCACCACCTCCCTCACCTCACCACCACCACCTCCCTCACCTCACCTGCTCTTCCTCCCTTGATGATGACCGGCCGGAAATATAATATATTTATCGAAGCATGAAGAAATTATTCCATTTTTATGCAGACGATTAAAGTTACGCAGACTACCCGAGTTATGCAGACGACCCGAGTTACGCACACGATCCGAGTTACGCAGACGACCCGAGTTACGCAGACGACCTGAGCGGCGCGCAGAGACGACCCGAGTTGCGCAGACGATCCGAGTTACGCAGACGACCCGGGAAGCTACGCAGAGACGACCCGGAGTTACGACGATCCGAGTTACGCAGACGACCCGGAGTTACGCAGACGACCCGAAAGTTACGCGCAGACGACTCCGAGCTGGCGCAGACGATCCGGAGTTGGCGCAGACGACCTGAGTTACGCGCAGACGACCCGAGTTACGCAGACGACCCGAGTTACGCAGACGACCCGAGTTACGCAGACGACCCGAGTTACGCAGACGACCCGAGTTAACAATGAAGAGTCCCTCACTATTGACTCTCCTTCTGTCAGGATCAATTACTCCTCATTTATCCTCATTTTCTCTACATTACTCCTCATTTCTCTTCAATTACTCGTCAAAGAGAGAGAGAGAGAGAGAGAGAGAGAGAGAGAGAGAGAGAGAGAGGAAACGCTCACTAAGATAATCACACGGACTCGTAAGTCAGTATAACAGGAGCTCGGTGCAATGGAGAAAATTTACCCATCCTTCCTTCCCTCCCCTCCCCCCTTTCTTCCTTCCCCTCCCTTCCCCTTCTCTACCCCCCTTCCTTCCCTCCACCGGACAAAAATGTGACCCGACATTTTTCTGTGTTCTGTGGCCGTCAGCGAATTTCCCCAAGCAATCTATTATCATCCTAAGTTGTTGAGGGGAAGGGAGAGGAAGGGGGAGGAGGAGGGTAGTTGTACGGCACAGATGACTTCCTCCTCCTCTCTCAAGACGTTCTGGGTCATCATGGGTCACTCATCGCCTTTGACCTTGCCTAAACTATGTCTGATTTTTAACCAAACCTAACCTGATATATCCTAGCTTAACTTGATACAACCTTGTCTAACTTGACTTAACCTGACGTAACCTTGTTTAACCTGACCTAGCCTAGCCTACCTTTAACTAACCTTACCTAATCTAACCAAACCTCAGGTGACACTAGACGCGGGTTATAAGCGTCCACCTGAAGACGAGGACAAAGAGAAACAGGTGTATAGAAAACAATCTCCTTTACGTCTCTTGATGTACTGTTTTCACGTGAAAGAGAAGCCACGGACCCCAAGGACACGGGAGGGAGAGGTGGACGACCTATATATACGGAGGCTAAGGACACTAAGGCGCTGGGCTTGACAGTTACGTACACGAAATAACTTAAAACATTCCGCGAAGTCATTTAGTGATGATAATTAACCCTCCTTCCCTCCCTCCTCCTCCTTACTTCCTTCCTTCCCTCCTCCTTCCTTCCTTCCCTTACACTGTTCAACATCACCTCTGTAAAACATGACATTATTCTCCTTCTTATATAATTCTACTCACTGGTGATTTACGAGAGTCAAGAAAAAAAAAAGAGTCATTTGATCATCTCCAATAATCCATTTCCCGCCCTTCTAAACACTGGTGACCGGGGGGGGAGGAGGAGGAGATCGCATTCGACTACCTCCCTCCTTCCTTATGTCAGTGAAAAGTTCCACCGCCTCTCTCCAGTGGACGGAAGGATTACTAGCAGAAGAAGACGGAGGACTAGTGAATGATTTTGAGGGACACCACAATTGACAGACATCTTTACACAAGCATTAAACTACTGTACTGTCAACCCTCTGTCAATCCACGAACTCCTGAAAAAAACTGACGGATGTTTATAAATTGTACTGTATGTATTATATTTACTATTTACACCTCAAACTTGTAAATAAATGAAAAAAATAAATAATATGAAGATGTTATTAGGACTCAACAAATTATAGACACGAGTTATAGGTGAAATTATTAAAACTCTTGACTATAATACCAAGAATATATCTATCCTTAATTAACACCAATATGTTTTAATCCAGTGATCACTAGTGTAGATAAATGTTTAGCGTGTATTAGAAACAAACATCACTAAACATTAAAACATTTCTCGTCAACACACACACACACACACAGACACATATTCCAGATTACACCAGCACACATGATTTATAGTCCATGTAATATATAATTTATAATGTATAAAAATATATAGGGTATTTTATACTTATACAATTGTGTGTATGCGTGTATTAAGAAAAGGTGTATCACATTACCCAAGTATAAAAAACAGTACAGTCGTAAATGAGGTATATAGGAAAATGGACTTAAATGAATAAACAAATAATTATAAAAAACGGGCATAAATTAATAAACAAGAAATCATAGAATACGGACATAAATTAATAAACAAGTAATCATAGAAAACGGGCATAAATTAATAAAGAAATAATCATAGAAAACGGACTTAAATTGACACACAGACAACAACAAAATATATTATGAATTAGAGAGACGATCAACACAGACCAGCTCAACGATAAAGGCCTACCTACACCCCCGCCCCCCTACCCACTATTTCATTACGTGAAGAAACTCGCCCGGTGGCTCCCGAGTGTCCCAATATCCTGCACCACAATATGATAGAAAGAACGGGATGGACAAGAGGGGGAGGAGAGGATTGAGAAAGGATCACTACCTCCTGCCGCCAATATCCTGCCCCGGAGCCATGGACGGGCAATATCCTGCCCCGGAGCATAAGGACTAAGAGGGAGGTTTTCAAGCCACAGGTCTTAATATCCTGCCTTAGAGCCATGAAAGGGTATTATCATGCCCAGGAGCCATACACAGCAATATCCTACCCCGGAGCTCGGCCAGTGAGGAGGACTGCTGCAGGGTGTCTCTCACACTTACCTCTCTGTCAACATCGTCTGAATTTTTTATCATCTTCTCACCGTCTACAACATCATCACCCTACCTGCAAAACATCACATAACCTAACCAAAACATCACCCCCTCCACCTTCTAAACATCACCCCCTCACCTCCAAAACATCATCCCTTCACCCCCCTCACCTCCAAAACATCACCTCCCACCTCATCCCCTCACCTCTAAAAACATCACCTCCCCCACCTCCAAAACACTTCATCCCTTCACCCCCTCACCTCCCCTCACCTTCTAAAACATCACCTCCCTCACTTGCACTCTCACCCAAACATCATCCCTTCACCCCTCACCTCCCCCTCACCTCTAAAACATCACCCCCCTCACCTCCAAAACATCACCCCCTCACCCCCACCTCCCGGTAAATGGGCTCTTGGGCAGAATTCATGACAAGGGAGGATTTTCGTTCCTTTTGTCTCCATGATTGTGAAATGTCTTTAGAAATGAGGTTTGGGTGGTTCAATAAAACATTGTCTTCTGTCCCCAACAATGCTACGCTCTCTCTGTCTATGTCTGTCTATCTGTCTATGTGTCTTTGTCTGTCTCTGTGTCTGCCTGCCTGCCTGTCTCTGTGTCTGTCTGTCTTTGTCTATGTCTCTGTCTGTGTCTATGTCTGTCTGTGTCTATGTCTCTGTCTATGTCTGTCTCTCTGTGTCTATCTGTCTGTCTCTGTGTCTATCTATCTATATATCTGTCTGTCTTTCTGTCTATCGATCTGTCTGTCTCTGTGTCCGTCTGTCTGTCTCCGGGGCCCCAGAGACACAGAGGATGAAGGTCTGTGTGTCTGTTTACATGAAGGACTCACCCGTCTAATAAACTTAAAACTATGATATAAGTAAACATTAATGCGATTATGGTAAAGAAGCGCTCAGTCACCCACAAGCTGAGGAACAGAAAGTTAAAAAAATAAAGTCCATCATGGCTAAAAATGCTGACGTCAGACATATTTGAAAACGAGGCCATTCACAGAATATTCCTTCAAACTTTGGACTAAAATTGAGGTAGTAGTTTGTGAGATAAGATGGGTTAAAGTTTTTTTTTTTTTTTCTCTCTTCAACAACTGTACCTATGTGAGATGAAGGATCTGGTCAGGATGGAAAAGTTGAGGTAATAGTTTTATATACGAGGGATTTTTCCTCTTATTACCGTCAGCCATATTAGGAGACAGGCAATGAGGCTAATTACTCAACAAATATTACTGACAACCTTCACGAGAGAGAGACGAACTTTAAAATGTGAAGAATTTTATACACAGACGCCGCCGGATGGACGACCAACCACCAGCGATCAACACCGTCAGCGCACACTGACACTAGATCCCTCCCCTCCCCTCTCCAACTCTTCTCTGTTCCAGCAAATCAGAACCATTAATAAGGTTAGGTAAGGTTAGGTTAGGTTAGGATGGACGATACACACTGACAACAGACACAATTTCTGGAGGAGGAGGAGGAGGGAAGGAGAACCACCCAAGCAATATGTATGAAAAGTTCCAGCAATATTCAGCAAATAGTTTGTCGAAAGAAGAAGTTGAGAATAAGAAAAGTTTACGCACTGATGGACGACTGACTACTGTAATCGGCCAGACAGATTGAGAGAAAAATATTAAACTTAGGAACTTTTGAGAGAACACCCCCCCCCCACCCCACCCCTCCCGCAGCTGTAACAGGCCCCTCACCCTCCCCCACATACACCGCCAAGATAGAGGTTAAATAAGAGGGGGCATAGCAAGGTAAGGTGGGTAAGTAGATAAGGAAAGTAGGTAAACAACAAGGTGTGTTAGGTAAGTATAGGAAGGAAGGAAGGAAGATAATTAACAAGGAAAGAATGAAGGCAAGAAAGTAGGTAAACATTAAGGTAAAGGTACGGCAGGTAGAAAGACATTCACCCACTCACCTTGATAATGTTGTGGCCGTGACTGCGAGGGTTGGGCACTACGGTCACCTGGAAGAAGGGGGTGACACCGTACTCAGCGTGGAGACGAGTCAACACCTCGTCGAATTCCCACCTCCTCCTGTCCCACGTCTCCCTCATCAGTGTCCAGCCATCTGTAGAAGGTCACCACCAAATTAGTCACATCTCTGGTTTATGTAGCCACAAATACCTCTGTTTTAACCCTTTGAGTCCTGGCGGGTTAAACCATCGTCCTCAAAGGATTAAATTATAATCTTCAAAGGGTTAAATCATCTTTCTCGAAGGGTTAACTTAGGTAAATATCACAAGTATTGTTTTATACAAAATATCTGTTTTAACCATCTCTAATTTATGGTAATGACATTGCAAACATTAAGAACGTAATATATTATATACCATATATACAGTACTGCCATATACCGTATATACAGTACTGCCATATACCGTATATATGTTTCATATATATTTGGTATATACAGTACTGCCAGCAGGTCATATACAGTATCGTTATATATCGTATATACAGTACTGCCATATACCGTATATACAGTACGTTTAAGAGTACCGTATATACAGTACTGCCATATACCGTATATATAGTATCGTTATTATGTCGTATATACAGTACTGCCATATATTGCATATACAGTACTGCCATATATCGCATATACAGTACCGCCATATATTTATATACAGTACCGTTACATACCGTATATACAGTACCGCCATATGACGGTATATACAGTACTGCCACATCGTATACAGCACTGCCATATCGTATATAATAGTAATCACATATCGTATATACAGTACTGCCATATATCATATACAGTACCGCCATATACCATATATACAGTACTGCCATATACCGTATATACAGTACTGCCATATACCGTATATACAGTACTGCCATATACCGTATATACAGTACTGCCATATACCGTATATACAGTACTGCCATATACCGTACATACAGTACTGCCATATACCGTATATACAGTACTGCCATATACCATATATACAGTACTGCCATATACCGTATATACAGTACTGCCATATACCGTACATACAGTACTGCCATATACCGTATATACTGTCATAAACAACATTAGTAAACTACCACAGAAATTCAAATGGTTCTCGATAAAGGTTTCCGTTCGTATCAGTGAAGGTTTCCAGAGCACAGTAGAGATGCGTGTGGAAGCCTCGATAAATAAGCCTAGTTTGGGTTATCTAGGTATGGTAGCCTCGATATGGAAACCTCCGACCGAATCCTTAACTAGAGGCTTCCACATGGACTAAAGCGTAAGGTGGTGGTGCAGCGGAAACCCTCGCGTATCCAGGCTGTAACCCCCCCCTCCCCTCTCTCTTCTGTCCCCTCCTCTTCCCTTCTTCCCCTCTCTCTTCTGTCCCCTCCTCTTCCCTTCTTCCCCTTATCCTCCCATCTCTCCTCCTCCCCCTTCCCCGTCCTTCATTTTCCCGTTTCTATCTCAACCCCTCTCTTCCTCCCCTCCCCATTCCTCGCTTCCTCCCTCTCCCCTCCCCTCCCTCTTCTCTCCTCACCCCTAAGGCTGATGTATGGAGGAGGGAAATGGTCATCAAGCTTTACTTTTATCACCTTACTGCCCCCCCCGTGTGTGTGTGTGTGTGAGGAAAAAGGGGTGGTGGTGGGGGGTGAGTGGGGGAGGGGAGGTGGGGGGAGGGAGGTGGGGGGTGGTGGTGGTGGGGGATGAGTGGACATAGGATAGTTCCTAATGTATCATGATACTACCATGATATTTGACCGGTAAGTCGTTGTATTATGGTTCTTGTGTGTGTGTGTGTGTGTGTGTGTGTGTGTGTGTGTGTGTGTGTGTGTGTGTCGTACATTGAATCACCGGGAATTGGAAGTACAGACTACAAATATATCATCCCTAGAGCGGTGTAGCCATGGTGGGCCCGAGGAGGAGTGAGAAGAGAAAGAGGAGGGAGAAGAGGAGGAGGAGGAGAAGAGAAAGAGGAGGAAGAGAAGGAGGAACAATAAGGCACCTCCATCCGGCGACCATCACAACAGACGCAATCGATCAGAAACACATGAGACGAAACTTACCCCCCCATCTATTTTTCTTCTGAGTTAGGTGTCATAGTGAGGGGGTGAGGGGAGGGAGGGGGTTAGGGGGTGTGAGAGGAGGGAGGGTAGGCAGGTTAGGGGTGCAGAGGGGAGGGAGGGAGGGGTAGGAGGTTAGGGGTGGAGGGGAGTGGAGGGGGGTAAGGGGAGGAAGGGGGAGGGGATGAGAGGGGGAAGGGGAAGTTTGGGTGAGGGGAAAGGATGGGGAGAGGAGGAGGAAAGTGTGTCTGAGGAGAGGTAGGAATGAGAGGAGGAAGGGAGGTGAGGGGAACATTATTCTCATTAACATTCCTCTCAGTGCTTCTCATAAACATTCCCCATCATAAACACAGGTCATAATAAACATTCTTTGTGTTTTTCATTAACATTCATCATAAATATCCCTTATAATAAACATTCCTCAAAATAAACACTGGTGATACTAAACACTGGTGATAATAAACATTGATGATAAACACTGGTGATACTAAACACTGGTGATAATAAACATTGGTGATGATAAACACTGGTGATAATAAACATGGGTGATGATAAACATGGGTGATGATAAACATGGGTGATGATAAACATAGGTGATGATAAACATAGGTGATGATAAACATTGGTGAAAATAAATAGCGGTGGCGCGGCGATAGACACGCGTGGAGTCCTACAAGGGGCTACTGGAGGTCCCCTGTTGTCTTAATGCTCAGAGTCTACAAGATACTGTACTTTCTACCTACACTCTGGAGGTATACATAATTATATTGTGATGGTATATATACAGTACGAAGGCATTCATACACATCCGGTCAGTATTACATGTATGTACACTATTACATCACACTGATAAACACTCATTGGAAAGGCCGTAAATGACTTACTCAAACACTGACGGAGAAATGTTCGGTATTATGCATTTAATGGGCGCCAGTCCTTGAACCCTGAGTGAAAGTTTTAGGAGAGACGCCCACTAATGTTAGGTCACCACAGAGAAACCTTCATACTGACTGGCCACGGTGATAATACTGTCAGATAACACACAGGGAGCATTATTATCACCGAGGTAGAAACATTATTATCACCGAGGTAGAAATATTATTATCACCGAGGTAGAAACATTATTATCACCGAGGTAGAAATATTATTATCACCGAGGTAGAAATATTATTATCACCGAGGTAGAAACATTATTATCACCGAGGTAGAAATATTATTATCACCGAGGTAGAAACATTATTATCACCGAGGTAGAAATATTATTATCACCGAGGTAGAAACATTATTATCACCGAGGTAGAAATATTATTATCACCGAGGTAGAAATATTATTATCACCGAGGTAGAAACATTATTATCACCGAGGTAGAAATATTATTATCACCGAGGTAGAAACATTATTATCACCGAGGTAGAAATATTATTATCACCGAGGTAGAAACATTATTATCACCGAGGTAGAATAAACTTATATAAGACTGAAATTGATGACCACCTGAAGTTTAGACATTCCCAGTTTATTTCACCTGAAATTTAGACATTCCCAGTTTATTTCACCCGAAGTTTATCCTGGGTTAAGCTAGCGTTCGATTTGGTTGGGTTACAGTAGCGTTAGGTTAGGTTAACACAGGTTAGATTGAGATGGGTTAGATGAAGGTAGGCTTAGATTAGGATAAGTTAGGTTTGCGTCAGGGTGGGTAATCTTCAGGTAAAATAAACTACAGGTGGGAATCTTCAGGTGATCCAAGTTTTGTTTAGAAAAAGTTTATGAATAAATTACCTAGACGAAAAGTTTCCATTAAAGAAGGAAGCAGTTTGAAACTCTTTACCAGCCAACACCAACTTTAGCCGTCCAGGAGTGAGCGTGGCGAGAGGCGAGAATCCAAAGATCTTCACCTTGTTGTCAGGGTAAAGTTAAATAAACCAATAATAACAGCACATCAAAAGTATCGTCTCACCTGTAAACACCCGAATTTATTTCACCTGAGGATTAACCTAATTTAACGCATACCTAACGCTAACCTGTTCGAACTCTAACTTAACCTAACCTTATCCACCAAAATAGGTGAGATAAGCTGGTGTAGAGAGAGAGAGAGAGAGAGAGAGAGAGAGAGAGAGAGAGAGAGAGAGAGAGAGAGAGAGAGAGAGTCTTTGTCTGCCTTTCTGTCTGTCTCTCGCTGCCTGTCTATATGTCTGTGTCCGTCTTTTTCCCTGTCTCTCTGAATGAATGTTTGTCTGTCTGTGTCTGGCTGTATGAATAGCGTGGGTCGGGATCGTACACACACCAATATATCTACATTACCAGACGACCATTACAAAAAAACCTATACATTAACGGATGGTAAGGCGTTGGCGCTGGTTGACGGAGCATAAAGGTGAAGAATTAGCCCATAAAACCACGTCTCAGTCACCCCCCTCTACGTGAGTCCTCTCTTACTCCCTCCCATTAAGACATACCAGGACACAGAATAATACACCAGAACACACTAGGATACAGCTGAACACACTAGGACACATCAGAACACACAGTAGACGTAGGGCAGACGCAGCAGCCCAGATATAACCATCAATAAGGGGGGACCGCCTCCTGCACGTGAGGTGAGGTCGACGGCGGGGATACATACGACCCAGATTATGCTAAGCCCTTACATTAATTTGCATCCAGCCACACTCCAGCACCCATCATGCGCTATTTACACTCCAACTCTCTCTCTCTCTCTCTCTCTCTCTCTCTCTCTCTCTCTCTCTCTTGTGTACGTACGTGGGTCTGATTTTACGAGAGTCCTTGACTATGATTTTCAAGAAGAGGGAGAGTTCTGTTTGGAGTGAAGGTGCTCTGTGATTCGCACCCTGTATACGAGTTTTGGCAAGTGTATAGAGTCGATGGGGGTTTTCGTAACGTTGTTTTAAGTGAAGTTATATTAGGTTCTGATCCTCCTTACAGTATATAATCATAAGGAAAGAGGGATGGTTTTGTTTTGAGTGAAGATGCTCTGTGGGTCATACCCCATATACGTGTTTTGGCGTATGTATAGGCGATAGGGTTTT